TCCAGAAAAACTGCGGGTTCAAGGCTGAAATCGCCCACGATGATATACGACATGTTAGCCATCTTCAGCTGAATTCCCAGCCGACAGAGAAGGTCCCAGCTGGTAGGAGCAAGGCCGATGGACGCGTGCAGGTAGAGGGCACGCGCAAGGAAACCTCCTGGAACATGTCCTCCTACATGCATGGCCATGACCATCCCCTGCTGCAAACGAATGTGGATGTTGCCTACGCCAAACCGACGTGCTTCGGAACAGCACGTAGAGTGCTTGCAAAGATCCCGCCTCCTGACGTAGGTACGGCAGGTGAATAGAGCCGCCGAGCGCGGCCTCCAGCTGCGAGCGGGCGATGCTAACCTCACCCGAGATGAGGCCGTCGATCCAGTCGCCCTGCTTGAAGTAGCCGACGACAGCCATGTCGATCTCCATGTAACGGGGGGGGACATCAGCAGCGCCAGCACCGCCAGCATCCTTTTGCCCCCGTGCAGCAGTTTTTTGCTGCGCTTTCGCTTTAGCTTGGGCAGCACGCAATGCTTCAGCTTCTGCCTTGGCCTTCTGACGGGCCTCGGCAACACCCTTGACTGTCTCCACCACCTGCGGGTCGACACCGATCTCCAGCAACTGTGCCACCAGAACCGCAGCAGGGTCAGCAGGAACAGGGCTGCTCGCCTTGCCCAGCTCCGAGTAGGCGCTGGCGGCTTTGCGGGCGGCCTCAATCTCCTGCTTCCCCAGCTCCTCGTACTTGTTGCGTGGCCCGGCGGTCTTCAACAACTGTTTGGCGAGCACCTCCTGCGCCCGTTCCCAAGCGCCTTTGGCTTTCTCCACCTGGCCCTTGGGAGTGTCATGCTCCTGCTCGGCCGCGCGGCTACAAACCATGGGGCCACCAGCCTGAACAGCACGAAGCGAGAGGAGATGAGCCTTCTGCCCAGCAAACAACCAACCACTGTAGTCCTCGAAATGTTCGGACGACCTAGCGACAATTGCGGTCTTGCGCTCTGGCGTGAGCTTGCCATTCCCAGAGGCAGGCCCATCGCCTGATTGCTGAGATCCACCTTGCTGTTGAAGACGAGGAGGGCGGCTTGCCCACGCACCGGCAGGAGGGCGAAGCTGAGCAGCAGCGGGACCGACAAGCTTCGAATTGCCGCACGCCCGGCACGAAGTCCTCCACAGGAAATCGCTCAGGTCCACGCCGTAGTCCACGGCTTGCTCCCGCTACCATCGCGCACCATCGAAACGAAGCGTACAGTGTCGTAGCAGCCGCACAGTAGCCGATCTGAAAGTGAGAAATAAGGCCCTCGCGCCTGAAAAGGAGGTGCACCCCTGGCATGGCAGCTGTCTGGGGGGAGCACGGAGCGCGTCGGTGGCCACCTCGCGTGTGGGGGGAATCCACAGATGCTGCCTTGAGCCAAAATCGCTACGGACTCTCTTCCATCCTCCTCCTACTCCCCGTCCTCCTCCTCCTCCTCCTCCTTCTTCTCCTCTTTCGCGGTCCTCCTCTCGCGTCGTCCTCGTCGTCGTCGTCACCTCCTACTCCTGCTCTTCCTCCAACCCCTCTCCCTCCTCTTCTTCCTCCTCCCCGTCTTCCCCCTCCTCGTCCTCCCCTTCCTCCCTTCCCTCCTTCCTCATCATCCTTTCCTCCTCCTCCTCCTCCTCTCCCGACTTCTTATCATCATCATCAACATCATCATCATCAGCAGCAGCCTCATCCTCATAACATCATCATCATCATCATCATCATCATCATCATCATCATCATCATCATCATCAGCATCATCATCATCCCTTTTCCACCTACTCCTCATCCTCCGCCTCCTCCTCCCTCCTTCCCTGCTTCCTCCCTCATCATCTCCTCCTCCTCCTCCACATCATGATCATCAGCAATATCAGCATCATCGGCATCACCAGCATCAACATCACCATAGTACTAATAAGAATCATCATGGGCATCAGCAACAGCATCAGCAACATCAGAAGCATCATCAGCATCATCTCCATTATCAGAATCATCATCCTTATTTCCATCATAAGCAACATCATAACCATCACCATCATCATCAACATCATCACAATGATCATCACCATCATCATCATCGTCACCATCAGCATCGTCGGCATGGTCAGTATCATCACCAGCATCATCATCATCATGGTTATCATCATCATCATCATCATCATTCTCATCAGCATCATCATCATCAGTATCATCATCAGCATCAGCATCATCATCATCAGCATTATCATCACCATCATCATCATCATCATCACCAGGAGCAGCAGCATCAGCATCAACATCAACATCATCATCAACATCATCATCATCATCATTTACCTTATACTCCTCCTCTTTCTCCTCCTCCTCCTCCTCCTCCTCCTTCTCCTCCTCCTCCTGCCGTTCCTCCTCCTCCTCCTTCTCCTCCTCCTCCTCCTCCTCCTCCTCCTCCCCCCCTCCCCCTCCCCCTCCCCCTCCCCCTCCTCCTCCTCCCCCTCCCCCTCCCCCCCCTTCCTCCTTTCTCCCCCTCCTCCTCCTCCTCCACAATTACTCAATATGAATACTACTCTCCCTCTTCCCCTGATGACGGTTTGAATGTGCTCGACCCCCCCCCCCAGCGTACTGTCTTTTTACACACAGGTTTCCCCCAGAATTGGGTCTTCGCCTGCATGTTTTTCAAAATGCTGCTCTCGCTGAGGCGCCGGCCTCATTTTCGGGCCCCGCTCTTTCCGAATCGCGCTCCCGCTGCAGCGCTGGCCTCATTCCCGTGCTTCCGCTCGTTCCGAATCGTGATCCCGCTGCAGCGTTGGCCTCATTTCCGCGCTTCTGCTCGTTTCGACTCGCGCTCCCGCTGCAGCGCTGGCGTCATTTCCCGTGCCATGCCACGGCACGCAATGCAATGCTAGGTTGATACTACGCTTTGCGGTGCTCTTCTACGCCATGCTACGTCATGCTCTACAATGCATCGCGTACCCTTTCGGGATCGTTGCCCTGCTCGACATCCGACTGCGCGAGTAGAGAGGGGATCTACGCCATGATAGGAGATGGGAGGGAGGGTAGGATGTCAGATATGACGCGAGCGCACCTAGCTTGCCCTCCTCCTCCTCCTCCCCCTCCTTCTCCTCCTCCTCCTCCTCCGCCTCCTCCTCCTCCTCCTCCTCCCCCTCCCCCCTCCCCCTCCCCCTCCCTCCCCCCTCTCCTCCTCCTCCTCCTCCCTCCTCCTCCTCCTCCTCCTCCTCCTCCCCTCCTCCTCCTCCTCCTCCTCCTCCTCCTCCTCCTCTCTCTCCTCTCCTCCCTCCTCCTCCCCCTCCCCCTCCTCATCCTCCCTCCCCCTCCTCCCCTCCCCTCCTCCTCCTCCTCCCCTCCTCCTCCTCCTCCTCCTCCCTCCCTCCTCTCCTCCTCCTTCCTCCCCCCCCTCCCCTCTCCCCCCCTCCCCCTCCCCTCCCCCTCCCCATCCCCTCCCCCTCCCTCCTCCTCCTCCTCCTCCTCTCCCATCCTCCTCCTCTCCTCCTCCTCCTCCTCTCTCCTCCTCATCCTCCTCCTCCTCCTCCGCCTCCTCCTCCTCCTCCTCCTCCTCCTCCTCCTCCTCCTCCCCCTCTTCCCCCTCCTCCCCTCCCGGCGGCCGCGTGTCTGCCGCGCGCCGAGAGCACTGTGATCGGGAGCCGGCGCAATCCCCCCCCCAGGTGCGACCCGCCGCTCGGCGGCGAGCCGCCCCCGAAGAGGAAAGGGTGCGCCGGCCGGGGCCTATAGACTCCGCTACACGGGAGCTCCGCGGACACCGCGAGGACCCCGTAGCCGGCCGCCTCGGGCCCCCGGGCGGCCTGCGCGCCGGCCCCCAGCGCCGCCCCCAGCGCAGCCCCCTGGCCAGTGCAGCGCGCCAGCCGCCCCCCGGCGCCCAGCGGCGGCCGCGCCTCCGCCGCCCGCGCCAGCTCCGCGCCGCTGCCGCCGCCAGCTGCCCCGCGGGGCCGGGCCCGCCGCCCGCCCTGCCGCCTGCTCCAGCCCGCCCTGCAGCAGGCCTAGGCCGCAGACCCAGGGCAGCCTCAGCGCAGCCCGGCCGCGCGCCGCAGCTGCTGCGCCAGCTCCCGCTGCAGCGCGCAGCTGAGCACCCGGTAGGCGCGCGCCAGCTCCTCCGGCTGCGCGTCCTCCGGGAGCTCGCGGACGTGGCTCAAGAGCCAGTCCCGCGCCTCTGCGCCGAGGCGGCCGCCCGTCTCCAGGGCGAAAGCCGTCAGGCGCTCGCCCGGGTAGCGCGCGTGCTTGGCGCGCTCGGCCCGGCGCGCCGCCTCGCCCGGGCGTCGCGCCGCCGCGCGCACGGCGGGCTCGTCGCCGGCCGCTGGATGGCGCACTGTCACGTCCAGCCACCTCCTGCCGTCGACATCGTCGTATTCGACGTCCAGGATGGCCTCCTCCTCCTCCTCTCCTTCCTCCTCCTCCTCTCCTCCTCCTCTCCTCCTCCTCCTCTTCCTCCTCCTCCTCCTCCTCTCTCTCCTCCCTCCTCCTCCTCCTCCCTCCTCCTCCTCTCCTCCCTCCCCTCCCCCTCCCCCTCCCGTTCCCCTCCCCCTCCTCCTCCCTCCTCCTCCTCCACCTCTCCTCCTCCTCCTCCTCCTCCCTCCTCCTCCTTCCTCCTCCTCCCTCCTCCTCCTCTCTCCTCTCCTCCTCTCCTCCTCCTCCTCCTCCTCCTCCTCCTCCTCTCCCCTCCTCCTCCTCCTTCCTCCTCCTCCTCCTCCTCTCCTCCTCCTCTCCTCCTCCTCTCCCCTCCCCCTCCCTCCCTCCTCCTCCCTCCTCCTCCTCCTCCTCCTCCTCCTCCTCCTCCTCCTCCTCTCCTACCCGTCCTCCTCCTCCTCCTCCTCCTCCCCTCCTCTCCTCCTCCTCCTCCTCCTCCTCCTCCTCCTCCTCATCCTCCTCCTCCTCCGCCTCCTCTCCTCGTCCTCCTCCTCCTCCTCTCCTCCTCCTCCTCCTCCTCCTCCTCCTCCTCCTCCTCCTCCTCCTCCTCCTCCTCCTCCTCCTCCTCTCCCCGATCCTGGGTGCAACGTGCGCCGGAACCGCTGCCGGGGTGGCGGGTTGCTGGGACTGCGCCACGCAGTGCTGCGCCACCTCTCGCGCGGTACGAGCGCTTGGGGGGGTCTGCCTCCTCTCCCCACCCCACCTCCCTCCCCCGTTTCCCGCCCCTCCTCCTGCGCGTGCTTGTTGCTGTCGTGTCTCGCCGTCGCTGTCGTGCGTTGCTGTTTGTTGTTGGCAAGTGTTTTGATGGTTTGCGTCGTCTTCTCTCGTCCTTCCCCCCTTCGCCTCTACCCGGGTCGCCCTGTGTGGAGCGCAGAGCGCGCCTCACGGGCGGGGATCGGGCCTTCGTGTGGAGGGGGGGGGGCGAATGGTCGGGGGGGATCGAGGTTCCAGGGTCGAAGTTGGACCAAAGAATTCCGACACCACCACGACACCACCACCACTACCACGACCACCACCACCACCATCACCACCACCGCGAAAAGACATGGAAGGGCCTCCTGATGGTGGAGCCCCCTCTGTCTTGCGGCGTCCCGCTCGAGACGTGCCCAGTCTCCACTATCCAGCTCGGGGAGGGATCGTATACCTTCTCATTGGAGGCGGTCGGCAAGTGGTTGTGTCGCTCCTCCTCCTCCTCTCTTCGGTCGTGTTCGAAGATCGAAGGTCGGATGGGAGGGAGGGAGGAATGATTGGATGGACTGGGATGAAGGTAGCCGACGGGGAGACGAAAACGGGGGAATGGACAAGGCGAGGGGCTTCCAAAATGCTCAATGGATTGGCAGGGCTTGCGTCTAAGTTTCAACGATTTTCCGAAGTGCCATTAGATTCTGGAGGCTTCCAGGGGTGTGATATGAGCATTGATTGACCGATTCTCCTACCCTCCGGCATGGCCTTGGGTGGAAAATCTACGTTGCTCCCGTTGAGTTTCACGGGACCTACCCCGAGCTGGCGGGGTAAGCCGAGGTGGGCTGCGGTACAGTGGCCCAGTTCGTCGTCTTCGACGTCATCGTCGTCGTCGTCGTCGTCGTCCTCGTCCTCGTGGTCGTCGTCGTCGTCGTCGTCGTCGTCGTCGTCGTCGTCGTCGTCGTCGTCATCGTCGTCGTCGTCGTCGTCGTCATCGACGTCGTCGTCGTCGTCGTCGACCATCGTCGTCGTGGAGATTGGGATCGGTTGGACGATGCTGAGGGGAGGACGGGCGAGTAGCGATGGTACGCCGCCGTGGGAAACCCGTCAGCGCGTTGATGGCGAGGAGGGACACCAGGCTTCCGGGCAGAAGCGAAGGAGCATCCCGATAGGGCAGACAATCCACCCCGATAATAATCACCCCGACACGCGAAGCCGTTTAGTAAACGCACGCAAAGAAGGAATCAAACAGGGCAAGGCTGTTTAATAAACGCCCAAGGCGGTTTAGTAAACGCCAGTTGTCCGGTCAGGTTGGATTTTTCCTCCCTTGGAACCCGCCCGCAGACGAGCTTCCAACGGCGGCGTGTCAAGCTCACTCCTCTGCCCCTCCCAGGCGGGGGATAGGATAGGACTCGGCCTTGCGCGTGTGCTGGGATGTTGCAGCTAACGCAACGTGACACACGTGCAGCTACTACTCTGCCTCGAACAAGCGTACACCGGCTACACGAGATTCGGGGTAACGCGCGCCGTGCAGCATTCGTCGATCCAGTCGACTCGGCGGTTCGCAATGTTGAACCGCTCGCGAGCGGGGGGGGCGACCCTCTCGTCCCTGGAGGCCGACGCCCGATGGCACTGCTTGTGGCAGGCAGGCTTCCGAGGCATCCGCCCGGCCCAAAGAGGAACCACCAGCAGGGGGAGCAGGCGGAGCAGGTGTCGGGGGTGGGGGGGAGGGAAGCACAGGGGAGCTCCAGCGAACCAGCTGGCTCAGGCAGGCGCCTCGAGCCACAGGGCGCGAGCTCGCATCGGGGGCCGCGCCCGGCAGAGAGGCGGAAAACCACCCTGGGACGCTGTGGAAGCCTTGACTCCTCCCCAAAAGAAAGAAGATACAGTGGAGGCCCGACCACAAGAAACCTTCACAAGAAACCCAACCCTGAGACCCCAGCGCGTCCATCGATTCTTGGTGCGAGAGCGCCGCGCTGTCCATCGCAAAACCATCGAAACCCTGGAGGCAAGCAGGGTGTTTCTTGGCATGGGTCTCCACTGTGGGCCCAGCAGGGCCTCCGACGGCCCACCGTTGACAGCCCCTCGGGGCGCGTTCGGCGCCCTGGCGCCCTGGGCGCGCTTCCGTGGGGGGAGCGATAGCCCAAAAAACCCAAAGATCCGACGCCGGCGTCCGCTTGCGGAGCCGACCCCGCTCCGCGTTCGTCGCCCGTCCGCCGACCCCTTTACCGCCGAGGAAGAGCCGTCAACTCCTTCGACCCTCGAAGGCGAGGACCCTTCCGGAGCGCCCCGCAGGCGTGCCGCAGACTTCGTCCCCGCCCCCCGTGTCGCCCACCCTGTTTTCGAGCCCCCCCCTCACCGGGAATTTAAGAAGAAAGACGCTCCAAACATAAACCGCTGGCGCTCCGCGCGGTTTTCTTGGATCTGCGCTGGGCCCCCCCATCTGGCGCGCGGAGCGCGCCAGGATTCCTTCAAGGATAGAAGGAAGTAAACGCCATAAGCACAAACTTGTCGCGCTGGGCGCGGATTTCTTGGGTCCGCGCTGGGCCCCCCTGGCGCGCGAGGCGCGCCAGGGGCGGCGCCGCAGGCGCCGCCAGGGGGAGTCGAGCGCGGATCCGAGAAATCCGCGCGGACCTCCGCGTTATCCTGCTTATGCCATTGTTCGCTCCCCGAGAGGAGGCCGCCAGGGCCTGCAGAGCATCCCTCACGAGGCCCAGCGGGCCCAGCAGGCTCCAAAGGAGAGCGGCAAGCCGGGGGCCCAGCGCGCCTCCGAGAAAAAACCGCGCGGAGCGCCAAACGTTTATGTCGATAGCGTTTCCCCCCCCTCCCCCCTCCCGGGGGCCGCACCCTCTGCCCGGTCCCCGCTCTTGCACGCTGGAGGAGGAGGGGGGAGGAGGAGGAGGAGGAGGAGGAGGAGGAGGAGGAGGAGGAGGAGGAGGAGGAGGAGGAGGAGGAGCGCCACGGGAAAGGCGTGTTCGGGACCCCCACGGGGGAGGGAGGAGGTGCCTTGGCGAAGGGCACGCGGCCCAGAGTGGCGCCGTGGATCTGCAGGAAGAACTTGCGCAGCTCCATCATGTCCTCGCAGCTAGAAGGGGCTCAAGGACACGCGAATACATACACACACAAATCTCAGGATTCCCTATAGTTTCATATTGTTTCTTTGTTTTCGCCTTCCCCCTTCCCATACTTTTCCATTTTTCCTGGGAATCGATCATGCATTGTGTCTATGTGTTTTTCCCCTCCTGAGAAGCGACCTCCCATCTGGGCCGATCCACTGCCGGATCCTCCGCCTCTTCCTCTTCATTTCCTTTAGGGCCTGATAGATGCCCGTCCGTACAATGCGCAGACGGCGCCCTACGACAACTCAGAAAGCCAATCCAGACAGATTGGGAACTTACAGTTCGCCTGGCAGTCCCCCACCCCCTCCTCCTCCTCCTCCTCCTCCTCATCATCATCATCGTCCTCCTCCTCCTCCTCCTCGTCCTCCTCGTCCTCCTCGTCCTCCTCCTCCTCCTCCTCCTCCTCCTCCTCCTCCTCCTCCTCCTCCTCCTCTTCCTCCTTCACCTCGTTCCCCTGCTTCTCCTCCTCCTCCTCCTCATCCTCCTCCTCCTCCTCCGCATGCTTTTCCTGAGTCTGCCCCCCCCCCCCCCCTGTTCATGGCTGATCACAGGCCCGATTCCCCGATCCAGCGGGCCCGATCGATGGCCTGATCCGCCGCTCTGGCCCCGATCGATCGACGAGCGCGGCTGGACCCCGGCGGCCTGGACGCCCTGGATCGATACGGGCCCAAGAATAGAAGGAAAAGAAAACGCCATGAAAAGAAAAACTGTTCGCGCTCCGCGCGGAGTTCTTGCATCCGCGCTGGGCCCCCCCCTTCCTGGCGCGAGGAGCGCGCCAGGGGCGGCCCCGGAGGCGCCGCCCGAGGGGCCCAGCGCGGATCCAAGAAATCCGCGCGGAGCGCGAAAAGTCTTATGTTCATGGCGGGTTTTCTTCTTCGAGGAAGTAGCGACCTCTGGGCTCCCGTCGGCCCTTCGAGGTCTCGACCCACTCCCTGGGACCGGCTGTTCGTCCTGGGTCGCTTTTCCACGGCCCCGAGGCCCGGTGAGGGCCTGCCGAGAGCGAAAATTAGGGCAACCCACCCCTCGTCGTGATTTCCTCCTTGCCCGAGGGGGTCTGGGTCTGGGCCCCCGTCCTCCCCGATGTGGTGCCGGATGAGCCCGCTGGCGAACTCGTCGGCGCTCATGCAGCCGTCCTCGGGCGACGAGATCTTCGGGGCCGAAAGACGGAGTTGTGACCACACCGTGCGGTGAGTCGGTGGGGATTCGGGGTCACCGCACGGTTTTGGGACTCGGGTCGTTCTCCGAGGACGTCTCGGGCGACAGGGGCCTCTGGGGTCCCAAGACCGTGCGGTGACGGACCGTGCGGTGGTCTTGGGGGATTTCGAGGTCACCGCACGGTCTGTCATCGCACCGTTTCGGGACTCCAACGATCTACATCGTGCACGGCCTGCCACCGGCCCTGGCCAGGCCCATGTCCTGGGCCCCCGGGAGCGGTCTTCGGGTGCTGCTAGAAGTGCCCCCGGCCCGAGGCTCCCCCAGGATCCCCCCAAGGATAGAAGGAAATAAACGCCACGAACATGAACCTGTCGCGCTCCGCGCGGATTTCTTGGATCCGCGCTGGGCCCCCCAGGGGCGGCGCCGCAGGCGCCGCCAGGGGGAGTCGAGCGCGGATCCGAGAAATCCGCGCGGACCTCCGCGTTATCCTGCTTATGCCATTGTTCGTTCCCCGGGAGGAGGCCGCCAGGGCCTGCAGAGCATCCCTCACGAGGCCCAGCGGGCCCAGCAGGCTCCAAGCTGGGGGCACCTGTCGACGGCGATCGATGGGGGGAAGTGAGAAGGGGCGGGCCTGCTCAAAAGGCTCGGCAGTCCCCCGGCCTTCTGACAAGTTTTTAAGCCTTCCCCGAAGGCACAACAAAAACCTCTCAGAAGGCCGGAGCCCTTCTGAGCAGGCCCGCCGCCTTCTGAGAAGGCCTACTCCTTCCCGCTTGTGGCGTCCCAAACCCGAATAGCGGCGCAGTCCAAAGCGCGTGAAAGCCTTATGGGAAACGCTTGCAAGGTCGCTTGAAAGGAAACAGAGCTTGCAAGCTCGCGACAAGGAGCTTCGCAGAAACTCCCAACGAGCTTGAAAAGAGCTGCGGAAAAAGGCTTCCCGGAAACGTACTGGGAACGGGTAGCGTTGTCCGGGACACGCTGCTGGCTCAAAGGAACCGCTGCGGGATGATGCCTTCCCAGGCTGTCCTACTGTGAAGCACTCTTTGCTCTCAGAGAGCTATCTCGGAATGTCTCCCCTCGCTCGCAGCCGAATACAACGACCCCCGACGTCATGATTTGCTCATAACGTCGACCCTCAGAGGTCTCGACCCAATCCTCTGGACCGGCCTTTCATCCAGAATCGTTTTTCACGGCCCCGAGGGCCGGCAAGGGCCTCCAGAGGCCGAAAATAGGGACAAGCCTCCAATCATGATCTTTATTTCTACTGTCCGAGGGGGTCTGGGTCGCTCGCCGCCGAGCCTTGGGCCAGGGGCACCCTCTAGCAGCACCCGAGCGGCGTGCATATGCGTTGGCGAGGCCTCTCGGGCTGCGCACGCCCCCCCCCCCTCTAGGGTACAATAGGGGCCCGACCACAAGAAACCTTCCACAAGAAACCCATGCCTGAGACCCCAGCGCGTCCATCGATTCTTGGTGCGAGAGCGCCGCGCTGTCCATCGCAAAACCATCGAAACCCTGGAGGCAAGCAGGGTGTTTCTTGGCATGGGTCTCCACTGTGGGCCCAGCAGGGCCTCCGCGGGCCCACCGTTAACAGCCCCTCGGGGCGCTTTCGGCGCCCTGGCGCTCTGGGCACGACTCCGTGGGGGGAGCGATAAAAACCAGAGATCCGACGCCCCCCCCCCAAAAAAAAAATTGAGCGGGCGGGCGTTGCCCGTTTTCGGCCTCTGGTGGCCATCGCCAGGCCTCGGGAGCGTCAAATTATCCCGGCAAAGCAGCCTAACAGCGATGTGTAGAAGCAGATCTGGAAGCATTCCCCTGAAGATTCAGATGATAATCCAGTTGTAGAATTCTGCTGTTCTCGCAGTCGCAGTCGCATTCGCGATGACAGTCGCAGTGGCAACGGCAGTCGCAGTCACAGCCTCAGCCTCAGCCTGCCTCAGCATCAGCCTGCCTCAGCCTCAGCCTGCCTCAGCCTCAGCCTGCCTCAGCCTCAGCCTCAGCCTGCTTCAGCCTCAGCCTCAGTCTGCCTTCAGCCTCGGCCTCAGCCTCAGCCTGCCTCAGCCTCAGCCTGCATCAGCCTCAGCCTCAGCCTCAGCCTGCCTGCCTCAGCCTGCTGCGCTCCCGTATAGTCCTGCGGCCTCAGCCTGCTTCAGCCTCAGCCTGCATCAGCCTCAGCCTCAGCCTCAGCCTGCCTCAGCCTCAGCCTGCTGCGCTCCCGCATAGTCCTGCGGCCTCAGTCTGCCTCAGCCTCAGCCTGCATCAGCCTCAGCCTCAGCCTCAGCCTCAGCCTCAGCCTGCCTCAGCCTCAGCCTGCTGTGCTCCCGCTCTGTCCTGCGGCCTCAGCCGGCCTCAGCCTCAGCATGCATCAGCCTCAGCCTCAGCCTGCCTCAGCCTCAGCCTGCTGCGCTCCCGCATAGTCCTGCGGCCTCAGCCTGCCTCAGCCTCAGCCTGCATCAGCCTCAGCCTCAGCCTCAGCCTGCCTCAGCCTCAGCCTGCTGCGCTCCCGCATAGTCCTGCGGCCTCAGCCTGCCTCAGCCTCAGCCTCAGCCTCAGCCTGCCTCAGCCTCAGCCTGCTGCGTTCCCGTATAGTCCTGCGGCCTCAGCCTGCCTCAGCCTCAGCCTGCATGCCTCAGCCTCAAGCCTCAGCCTGCATCAGCCTCAGGCTCAGGCTCAGGCTCAGGCTCAGCCTCAGTTTGCTGCGCTCCCGCACAGTCCTGCGGCCTCAGCCTGCCTCAGCCTCAGCCTGCATCAGCCTCAGCCTCAGCCTCAGCCTGCCTCAGCATCAGCCTGCTGCGATTCTGAAGCAAAATGTGGCCGGGGCTTAGGCGAGAGCACGATTCCAGCATGAAATGTATGGAAATTTCAGGCGAGAACGCGATTCTGAAGCAAAATGTGGCCGGGGCCTAGGCGAGACCACGATTCCAGCATAAAATGTAAGGAAGTCTCAGGCGAAAAGCCCGCCCGCGGTTTTCCCCGGCACCCGCCCAGACCCCCCTGGGGCGTCAAGATGCTCTCTTTTGACACCATTAGAAAACCTATCAGTCTTCGCTGTTAGGTATAAACCGGCTCAGGAAAAAAGCTGGCCCTGGGGAAGTGGTCTGGACCTGTGGGGCCCACGCATCATCAGAGTGAGGTTGCCCGAGCGGTCTTACTCTGTCCCTGCTCGCGTTCGTTCGTCTTGGGGTCGTCTGTCCGGCGGCCACGCTAGGAGGCCACACTGGGGGGCCACGCTGGGAGGCCACGCTGGGAGGCCACGCTGGGGGGCCGGCACGCTTGGAGAGCTCAGCGAAGAGTGGCGGTGCGTCCGTAGCAGTGTTGGTTCAAATCCCGCATGCAGCGAGCGCGTCGTGGCTTCTCAAAGCGCCGCCAAGCACCCTCTCTCTTATCCGCAGCTGCGGGGGATTTTGGTAACAAATCGGAGCTGCCGGATGTCAGGGAATGGGAGGGGAGAAGGAAAGTGCCCTTTTCGAGCCCTAGAGTCCCCCTTCTGAACCCGAGCGGGCCCCTCTAGGGGCCTAGAGGTTTCCTTTGCATCAGCCCTAGCTGCCCCCTGTTTATCGCACTCCCTTCAACCGGGATAAGTCTCTAGGTAACTAATATTTTTCCCAGCGGCCCTATACACGGCCTGGGGTCCCACCAATACGGGGCAACTAATTATCATTCCAACCAGTGTGATCTTGCACTGCTATATTTCGACCGACAGTACCTGGGTGTGGTGGGATGTGTCGGTGTACTGCCTCGGTGTGCTGGAGTCTGTGTGCTGGGGTCGGTGCGCTGAGATGCGTCGGACGTTTTAGGGTGTGCGCCCTGGGGGCCGGGATGCATGGTGTGATGTGCTAGAACACGTGCTGGCCGTGGGCCCCTGGATCTGCTGGGATGCGTGCTGGCATGCGTCGGTGCGCGCTCGGGGTGCTGGGATGTGTGGGTGTTGCCCCCCCCCCGCCCCTGTCGCACTGTTCCGACCGACATTGCCCCTCCCCTCTGCCCGACCGTGGCCCCCCGCCCCCCCCCCCCACGCTGACCGACCGTGCGCCCCCCCCGCCCCCCTCCCCTTATTCCAACCCGGCCGTGCCTCCCCCCCTGTCCCCCCCCTCGCCCCTCCGCCCCCCCCTTCTTCCGCCGACCGTGCCTTCCCCGGTACACGACCGTGCCCCCTCGTTTCCCTCTCCTCTCCCGACCGACCGGGCCCCCCCTTTCCCCCCTCGCTTTATTCCGACCGACCGTGCACCCCCGCTGCCCGAACCGCCGCCCCCCCGCTCCCATTCCCTTGCCGCCCTCCCCTTCCCCTTCCCCGCCCTCCTCCCCTGATTCTGGCCGACCGTGCCCCACCCCCTTCCCCCCGCATCCCCCTCCCTTCTCCTGGCCGACCGTGCCTCCCCCTCTTCCCTCCGCGACCCTCCCGCCAATTACACCGACCGACTGTGCTCCCCCTGCCCGCTGTCCGACTGTGGCCCCCCGCTCCCCCCCGCCGCCCCTTGAATTCCCGTATTCCGACCGACCGTGCCCCCCCTCCACCTCCGCGATCCGCCTACTTTCATTCCGACCGACCGTGACCCCTCGCTGCCCGCGGCGGCTCCCCGCTCCCCGTCCCTATCCGATCGCCCGTGCACCCCCCCTTCCCCCCATGCCCCCACCCCCTCACCATATTCCGACCGACCGTGCCCCCCCCGCTGCCAGACCGTGCCCCCCCCGCCCCCCCCCCCCGCCACCGTCCCCCCCTAGACCGCGCCCCCTCACCCCTTCGCTCGTCCCTTTTCCGTTTTATCCGCCGACCGTGCCCCCCCCTTGCGCCCGTGCCCCCTCCGTTATCCCGACCGACCGTGCCCCCACCGCTGCCCGACCGCGCCCCCGCTCCCCGCCTCCCGCCCTGGTCTTTTCCGACCGATCGTGCCCCCCCGTGCTCGCGTGACCCCCTCCCCCCTTATTCCGACCGACCGTGCGCCCCCCCCCAACCGTGCCCCCCGCTCCCCCTCCCGTTCCCCCCCCCCCCGCCCCCGTTCCCTTCCGACCCGACCGTGCCCCCGCCCCCCCCCTCCTTTATTGCGACCGACGGTGCCCTCCCTCCGCTGCCCGATCCCCCGCCGCCCCCCTCCCCTTACTCGGGGGCGGCCAAGGGGGGGGGCGTCCAAGAGGGGGGGGTGCAAATCATGGCCGGCGGCATGTGCGCGGCCAAAGGGGGGCCAGGGACGCAATGACATAAGAAGAGGCGCCATGAAATCTGGGGAAATATCCTGGCCCACGCCATGACATTCCCCCCCCAGCCATCACCCCCCTCTTTGCCGCCCCGACTTACGTCGACCGACCGTGCCCCGTCCTTCCCCCCTTGCCCCCCCCCTCATCCCGACCGACCGTGACCCCCCCCCCGGCCGGCGGCCGGCCGACCCCCGAGCGTGCCCCCCGGCCCTCCGCCACGGCGGCCCTGCGACGGCCGCAGCCCTGCAGGACGCCCGAAGACAGCCTCAAAGAGCCCCAGAACGACCCCAAGAGGCGGAGGAGGGGAAGACGGAGGAGGAGGAGGAGGAGGAGGAGGAGGAGGAGGAGGAGGAGGAGGAGGAGGAGGAGGAGGGGGAGGAGGAGGAGGAGGAGGGGAGGAGGAGGGGGAGGAGGAGGAGGAGGAGGAGGAGGAGG